CTTTACTATATTCTTATTCTTTCTTTCTTTTCTATTTTTCTTTCTTTTTCTTTTCTGCGCCTTCTATTTTTTTCTTATTCTTTTAGGGTTTTTTTTGTGTGTATTAGTTTTTATCTTTGCAATTGAAATCTTTAATAAAATTACTATTAAAAAAATAAGCAAGCTGTTTTCAATTACTTTCCTTGGCTCTAGCTCATAGAACAGCTTATCTTCTGTCATCCCAGAGGAATCATTTTTTGGGGCAGACAAAGTCTTACAGCTCATCCTCCTCTTCACATTTTCAATGAATCTTTTGGATCTCACTCAATAACTTTCTTCAGCAATCTTCTATGGACTTGCCCTTGAACAAAGAAGCCTTCAGGAACATAACAGTGCCCAGTCCAATTTATGTTCACTAGCCAGCATTACTCTTTACTAAAACAACAAATCTTCAATAGCCTTTGCTGTCTAGATTTGTAGACAGTAGAGGGGATGGCCTTGAAAGATAGGAGGAAGAGCTGCTACCAAGGAAACAGTCAGATAAAAGGGGCCTGGGCCCTGGTCAAGAAAGTAACTTGAGAAAATGTCTCAGGCAAGCCCCTCCCTAGTTCACACAGAAAAAAAGGGAGGGAGGGGGAAGCACATTCAGACTTGCAGGATTCTGTTATAACTGCTACAAAAATGTAGTACAGACCTACATGGATTAGTTTCTTAGTCTGGTCTACCTTGTAGGGCTGACAAGATCTATCTTAGGTTATGCCACCCATTACACCTCCTCTATCAAAGTTCCTCTCCAGTTTCTGTCTTTTAAGACCCACCTCTGATGCCCCCCTTCTCCTACAGGAATACTTCCCTATGGGAAACAAAGCTATCTGATCTATTATCAGCTTCTACTTATCTGCTAACTAAAACAAAGTGGGTATCTAAGTAGCTAGATGAATAGCTAAGAATAAGCCATGTTTGAATGCAGACTGTCATAATGGTATTTTCTGGAACTAGCATAGTGAAGGAGGATCTTGCAGCCTTTTCCTCCACTGTTCCCCTTCACCAGCTGCTCCTGTAGGAAGCTCATTGCTCACCATACCGGCCAATTCTTTGCCTGACTGGCTTTGTCCCTCCATCTCATAGAAGAGAAATCTTGTTTCCTCCTCCAGAAGCTTCCTTCCATCACCTCTTTCCTTTGCCTTTTTTGTCCTTTTTTTAATACGTTCCATTCAACTGCTTGATGTGGGTACCGCTGGAAGAGCTGAAGGGCCAGGTTAGGGACAGATCACCATAGAGAAAATCTATCTATGTGGTCATTAAGAGTTGACAACAACCTGATGGCATGTAATTAATCATCCAACTGCTATCTGACTGTGACAAATTAACTCCTTCTTCTTGAATCTTCCATTCCAGTACCAGTCATTCCTTCCTGATCTCTGCCATTTTCTTCTCCTACTCTTCCAAGTACCATGGTATCCATGGCTACAATTACCAGGCCTCCAGTCTTCCTTCCAATTTCCTTGGTCTTCAAGGATCTGCCAAAAAATGGTAGTGTCTCGACCAAAGTAGGGGAACCCTATGCCCAAGTCATTTCCTCCTAGTCCATCAAAATCTAAAGCCAGACTCCCCAAATTCCCACTTTAAATCCTGGAGTCAGGGCAATCCCATGTCTTTAATCTCCACTGTGGACTAAAAAGGAGGACACAACTGCATTGTGGTTTGGAGGCATTTGGAAGGGCAAATATGAAGTTCATACTTACCCCTGATCATGAATTTTGCTTAATTTTCAATGATTTATGGATATCTGACCTAGATCCATATTTGTGAATTTGTGACCTAAAGCCATCATGCGTAATCAAAACTGTAGATCCTAGGCTTTCTAATGAAAAGTTATAAGAACATAATATATTTCCTTATTCTAAGCATAATACTATATAATTTGATAGCAGTTCTCTGGAGTTTCAAAATTCAGTTTCTTTAAGACTTACCTGGAAATATCAAACATTAGATCTAGGGCTTTCCATGGGCAAAACACTATGCTATTGTGGAACAAAGGACAGGCTAGGAGTTCTAGATAAGGATGTAAGGAGAAGAGAAATAGGAACCTCGGAATATGGATTGTGTTTGTTACTTGTTTTTTAACTGCATAATGAATAAAGAGCTGTTACAAGTTTGGTTTCTCTATGACATTACAAGTACATACTCCATCACTGAGCTTTAGTGCTTCCTCAAGAATACAGCTTACACTGGCTTTTTGCAACTGACTCAAAGGGATTTAAAAGGAGCTGCAACTTAAAAGAAAGGAACCAACAGCACAATGCCTATTGTGCTCTTTTACCAAATTTGTTATGGCATAACTCAGAGATAGGACTTACCGAAGCTGATATTGACTCTTCCCCCAGAGATCAGTAACCTCCTCAGAAGACATATGCATATCCAAATTGCATACGTTAGGTTTCTGGGTATATTGCTTTAGACACTGCTTCACCCAATGGCGCTGAGAGCCCGGAAGAAAGGGATTATTAATATATATGAATCCTGGACAAAAACAGAGATGGGTGAAAAAGAGAAAATATAGATAAGACCTCCCCCATAAATTTAAATTACGAACACTGAAGAAAACAGGAACGCAGGTGTTATAATGTATGTCTTCCAAAAATGTTGCACACATTATCAGCTGTTCTACTGACTAAATTTAGATTTCATGTATGCTGAGATATCCCAAATATGCTCACCTGGATAATTATCTAGACCATAAGCTTTCCATTGAGTAACTGGATGCAATCCTGCTCTGTAGGTATCTTGATCACTTACTGACGTTAACTTCAGAGGGCAGCTGACCACCTAGTAAAAAAAACCAAAAACCAAAAACCTGAGTATCAGATATCCACAGAGATGTCTATAGATTCTTACTGAACTGATAGCCAACCAGAAGTTGTAAATACCACCAACTCTACCCATTCCTTGGAGATTATAAAGGAATGTAGCAATAACCTTGATGAAGAAAAGGATAAGCCATTAAGGGAGGTGAAATGGCAATTCAGTCCTGGGAAAGTGGAAAGCATGACAAAGAAACTCAAAATAATTGATTCTGTTTGGCATAAGATGAGGCAAATAGAGACTCTGACAGGCTATCAAGGTTCTATTATTATATCCTACAAAAATTAAATAGTATTCCTGGAATCCTTATGGTGCCTATTTTTGGATCTGACCTACTTCCAAGGGCTGACAGTTCTTATGAAAAGCCCTTCTGCTTATATAAGACATTTATGTGTGCAACCCATTAAAGTCCAAACTCTTGTCATTTTTTAAAGTTTGATACTGATAAGGATATTTTTGAACCCTGCATACAAATTCCATCTTGCAAATAAATGTATAGTGTAATTTAAAATATTATTAGAATATTTTAAAAATCAGTTGGTAATGAATATGATTAAATTTAAATTATTGTTTAACTACAAATTCTCTGAGTAAAAAGTAAAAAATTAATTATCAGCACATGTCATAGAAATAAATACAGGAATAATCTTAGCCATACTGTCTCTCATACTCATCTGTTTAAGTTTTAAATGGGAGTAATAAATGACTATCAATAAATACTTTACAGTGCCACATAAAATGCTGCCAAGAGATTAAGCTTATATTTGTATGTGCTTAAAATATATCAAAGAAATCCAGTTTGATGTAGTGGTTAAAGCACCAGGCTAGAAACTGGGGGACTGTGAGTTCTAGTCCCAGCTGGGTGACCATGGGCCAGGCACTCTATCTCAGCCCTAGGAAGAAGACAATGGCAAATCACTTCCAAAATCTTGCCAAAAAAACTGCAGGGACATGTCTAGGCGGTTGCCAGGAGTCAACACTGACTCTAAAGCACAGAATTTATTTATTTAAAATATCTCAAATTGCCCAGTAATGCATAATTATTATATGGATTCTGAATGCTTGTAAAACATGCATATTAAAAATATGCGATATATGCTGCATTTCAGCTTTTCAAAAGCAACGTAGCATTGACTTTCATGATATGAAAACTGTCAAATACCAGACAATAAAACAGTATTTATTTATTTGGAACTGTGAGGAAGCTTATAATACATTTTATTCTTGATTCAGTAGTAGGATAATTAGCCCTAAAACCACAATGTTCTGACAAATAGCTTGCTTTTCTTCCTGCAAATAATCTTGACATTATGTATGGTAACAGCTATTAACTCTGGAACTGCTAGAGCTAGAAAGCCACATTTTATAGCCTACAACAGACTAGAATTCCAGTCTGAATGGGATAATGGATAAATGTCTAACTCCAGCAGATACATTATTTTAACTGAAATTACAAATTATGCTAGAGAATAAGAAGGTAATCATAATTATGCAACCCTAAGGACTGAAGAGCTTATTTTTATGTCAGAAAGTCTCTTGGGAGAGCTGTAATTATACTGCATTAATTACTGTCTTAACTGAGGACCAGAGAACCTGTCTAAGAACTGGTCCAAGTCAGAAAACAATACTTAGTAGTAATTTTTAATATGTTATTCTTAGTTTTTCTTAATTAAATTAAAAGAGACCTTTTGTTAATGAAGACAGAACTTAATCCTTATCACCCTGCAAATGTCAGCTGTATGGACAATTTTCTCTTCAACAGTTAATTTCTAACCATCTTGAGAAGATAATGGGATCAGGGTATTTAAAAAAGAAATATGCAAAAGATTTTCCTTTCTGATACTACAAAACTTGTTTAAAAAAAGAAAAAGAGGGTGCACATAATATTGCTCAGCTAACTAGTAGGATGCAGTAAAACATTCTCATATGGAGAGGTAGCTTCTATGTTATGCTCCTATGCCAATTTGTTTAGTTACTGAACTTCTATCACTTATCATTAGTGATCAAGGGTCATAAAAGGAAGCACAATCTTCCATGGACAAAGATTATGGTACAAGTATAGCACACAAGTGAATGTTTACAATGCAGTATTCTCTCTGAAGATAATCAACAGCACAAGGATAAAATTATCTAGAACCCTATATTAAAACAAATATTTGGTTCTGTTTGATCAGGGTGATAATCAGGGCATACAGTCTTATATTGTCCACCAAAGGGTTAAGATCCCAGCAGTTCATGAACAGAAAGAGATCATTTTGTTCCATATGTTACTCAAGTGGATTTTCACTTGTTCCAGTAACTATTCCTTGTTCACCACATTCTCCTAAATCAGTTTCAGTTTTCCATCCTTTTAGTTGAAAATTGGAAGACATTGGGGGTTTAAGAAGAATTGGTTAAGTCTGCTACATCTACGATAGTGGAAGATGACCAGTGTTAGATATATCCTAGTCTATCATGTCTATCATTAGCAAAAGGATGAAAGAGATAGTGAATTCTATTAAAAAAAAAATAAATTTGATATATTATTTTCATCAAGTGCCTTGTTTGAAAACATAATTCTCTCTTATTTTGTTTTTTTAAGGAAACATGCTTCTCTTGATCACACTTCCATGTGAGAAAGCAGGCTTCTATGAATAAAGGAAAAAAGAGGCCAGACCAGAACACATTTGGATATGTACTATGATGTTTATCAGGCATCACTGAATTGGCAGAAAAAAATGGTATCCAGATTTAATAAACCTATGCTTTCCTTGAGTTATTGTTCTAAACTAGCTGCCCACAAGCAGCACTGGACCAGGTATCATCATTTTAGCCATTCCTTTCATGAAATGCATTTTATATCAATAGTCCTCAACCAGTGACACATGTATTACTGGTGGTATGTAGAAAGACAAAGACCCTGAGAAGAACATAGCTCATCTCCCCACAACCATGCACAGGAGAGCAAGCAGAGAAGAATGGCAGAGCAATCAATCTTTATTTGAATGTGCTTGTGGTAGCATTGCACCATCTAGAAAGAAAAGGGTGGCAGTTCCCCACTAAAGTTGGTAGGAAAGACCCCTACTGACACTGCAGAGAGGGGACTATTGGTTAAAAGTGGGACTTTGGTGCTGCAGGTGAGCATATACAGAGGTGCTGTTGGCCATGAGAAACAGTCTAGAGTATCACTAGTTAGAGAAAGGGAGCTTTCTGTTTCTCTCATAGTGAGTTTCAGGTCCTTTAACAAAATGATCGTTGAGACTTAAATGAAAAATTGAAGACTATTGTTTTATACTACCCTCCTCCCTGAACAATATCTATGGTGATTTGGTCCAGCTTAACAGATTATCCTGTGACTTTAGCTAAATTAATATAACATCACTGTATTTCCCTGAAATAGACAAATTTAAGACAACTTCCTGAGGAACAGTAGTCTGAAGAAACAAAACAAAGCAAAACAAAAACACATCCTTGTCTATGTTCTCAGCAAATTTAAATCTTCCTCTTATTTAAAGATAAATTAATTGGCAATTAACTAGTCCATTTTGGTAAATGCATAAATTTTCATGAGCAAGAGCATACTATCCTGTAAAATGCATCTGATAAAGTAGGCTCTACAGAATTCTGTTAGATTACACTGTTCCTGTTGACAAGATTTCCCTTTCCCTGATCCAGTGAGATGTAGTGGTGAGTACTGGACTGGTATAAAGGGGACCAATACTCAAATTGGCACTAGAATATAAGGTTCTTTAGGTCATCTGAGGCTACACTTGGTCAATCCTTTGTCACAGGTTAGCTGTCAGTATAATGTAAAAGACAAGGAAGCTCCATGTGCGCTACAAAGGTGGGATAGAAATGCCACTTACAATATATTTGTAGGAGTATTTAAAATTAGTGAGTTTTTACTTTCTTTGTGGTCCCTAGTAATTTCTTATATTTTAATTATCCCAATTAATACTAAACCAAATGTTTAGTAAATTATCAGAGAATATTTTCTTTCATTAAACTGGCAGATAATTAAAAGATGACATAAAGCAAGCTTTCCCAAACTGTGAGGTGTACCTCCCTTGGGGAGGTGCAGACAGAATCCAGGGGAGGTGTGAAGAGCCTTTTAGTTACATGGTTACAACAAATCCACCTTTCCCAAAGTTTCATTGTTTTGCTTCCACTGCTCATTTTGATGTTTGGATTTTTAGGGGAGCTGTGTACATTAAGATTATACTAAAGGGAGGTGTGATGGCGAAAGTTTTAGAAACCCCTGACAAAGTATTACAAGCCAGAATTCTACCACTTCGTTTCACTTAATATGAGTAGATGTACTCTGATCAATCTCTATAAAGCACTATTAACCCCAGAGGTCTAAGCAATAAATGAAACAGTATCTGAAGAAAAAGCCCTTGAAATATCATAGTTTTTCCATACCAGGTTATTACTACCTACAATGACTAGGCTCCCACAATAAACCTTAAATTTGAAACCCAACTCCATTATTGATTCAGGCCTTTATATTTATTAGATTTACATCCCATTACATTCAGGAGTTTAGGGTGGCATACGCAGGACGCCCTCTTCCTATTTTTTCCACAACAATAACCCTGTGAGGTAGGTTTGACTGACAGGCAGCGACTGGCGCCAAATCACCGAGTTTCTGTGGCTGAGGGTCGATTAAAATCTGGTCTTCCTGTTCTTAGTCTAATGCCTAAACCGTTAAACCATACTAGTTTTTTTTTTTTTTTTTTAAGTTTCTACCAGGTTTTGAACCAGCGACTTAACAGGCAAATTCTACCGGGACACTTTTAAACATCATTTATGTTAACTATAATGTGAACTGTTTCGTCCTCAGTGCTGTCACCGTGACTAGTAAACAATGGTTTCATTTAGCAGAGGCAAATACGGTCAATATTTTGCTAAATGCTGCACGGGAGGGAGCACAGAAACTGAGAACGTCTGGCACTGGCCAAGGAAGTCTTCTCTCGCGATCAAATTTCACTGTTTGTCAAGTGGAGACCTTCCCCAGATTGTTACTACGAAGCCTTCACGCCGATATTCGCTCGGGAACCTAATCCGCCGAATCAGAAAAACCGCGCAGCACGTGCGGCAGAAAAGGGGAGGGTCTCTCAAGAGGAAGATGCAAAAAAGTTCCTGGCAGCGGAGACCGGTGGGATCCGCGACGGCGAAGAAGCGGAAGGCGCCCTCGGTCTTACCTGCCGCCTAGCTGGCTTCGAGAAGTCAATCACCCCGGTAGGATCCGACCCCTCCCACCGCCGATAGAAACGAAAGAGGCGACGGAACGCATCTTCCTCCCGCGTGGCCGCCGCCATCTTAACGCAAAGCGTGACCTTGGACGCGCTCAGCCGAAGCGGCGGAAACTCGCCTCCCATTGGTTTGGAGCCGCCTCAGCCGGCCAAGGTCGTCCGTCCCTCATTTTAAGATGGCGATGAGGGGTGTTTCTCGGCGGGTGTTCGAGGTCTTCGTTAGGCGAATACCCTGGAACATGGAGGAGAGTGAGTGAAAGAAGATGCGTTTTCTTCTGATGGTCACGGGGTGATATTAGGGTCTGCCCCTGTTTGAAGTTTGGGTGACCGAAGCTTTTGTTCCGCCGGAGGGTAGGGGTATATCCGAGTGCGCTCTCTCTTACTGGGCATGGGATTCCAACTTATTTCGTGTGAAGAGGAGGTGAGGCCGGAGTGGATTTTTCCTACCTCCTTATCGCAGTGGCGGCTTGACTTCTTCCTTTCCAATTTCTCTTGCCTTGAGGAGATGCTGCGGATTTTGTCTGCGATCCCTCTTGTCTTCTTATCGAGGCCCCAGTTAGACGACGGCCGTCAAGGGAAGATTACGCAAAGAGCCCATGTGAAAGCGTTAAACACATGGCCGTTTGTATACTAGGGGGTTTATAGCGGCTTATAGCTTCGTTCAGCTATCGCGCTGGCAATATATCACTAAGGGAGATAGGCTTTATATCACCATATCAATGGTTTAGTGATAAGGTGCTATAAGTAATTAGAGTGGAAATTGCTTCGGAGGCAATTTTGATTTGCCCGAGACACAGGCATTGCGGCCGATACTGTGTAGGTTCCTGTGCGAATTACAACGTAGGAGGGAATTAATGCAGACTTCTTCATTTCGGAAATCTAATTCAAACAACACTTTCAGCCCTATGTGGTGTGCTTGTTTTGGTTTTGTGTCCATTATTTCTGGGATAAATGGTGATGTAAAGATTGGATCCTAGATATACAGCATAGAATAACTGCAATTATGTGACATAGGGAACCGCAAACCAGCCAACCATGTGTTAGTCTAGAATGTTATTTGTAGACAACCAGTGTGAATACTTATGGTTCACTGTGTCATGCGAGCCCAGAAGATTGGGTTAATTTCACTTAATTATGGGTAAATTGTATGAGCCCAGTCAGTGAGTGTCATAGTTAATTTGAATTTGAATCTGATTTTTTTTCCTGTATTGATTATGCTGACTATATATGCTTGCTTCTTTTAAAAGCATTTTACGATACTTTTTCTTCTTCGTGTACAGTTATATGCATAGAGGAGCAAAGTAATCCTCTCCCATCTAGGGACTGTCAACTGTTTAATCTGAATTTTATTTGAATTAAAAGCTGCTATCTTAATCTTTTTTGTTTTATAAAATTGATCAGAGAGAGCTATTATTAGGCAGGTTGAAAATGTAATCAATCAATGCTGTATAATTTTTGGGTGCTAGTTTGAGCATATGTTTTGAGCAATTAGAGGATGTGGTTTCCCAGAATGCCCATTGCCATTGCTACTGTCTTGTAGAACTTCTGAAATTTGAAGCCTAACATTCTGAGCAGCACCAAACAGTTAAATTTAGTCACCCATTTCCCTCAAATGCCTGTAATATATTATCATCCCAAGGGATTGTGAGAAATTTAGGGTGACTAGACCCTGCTCCTCAGAATGCTGCCATTTCTTTAGCCCACAATAGCCCACCCACCAATTGAGAAGATGGCTATTAGAAATTAGTTTGTTCCTGACTCCCTGAAATGTGAAGTGCATCTAAATGATCTATACCTTATTGATCTCCTGCCATTTTTTTTTAAGATGAACTAAGAGAATATTTTGCTCAGTTTGGACCTGTGAAGAAATGCATCCTGCCATTTGTAAGTATCATAGTCATTAAATGATTGCATCCAAAGTAAAAAATATCATTCAAATTGTATTTGAGCAGTGGTCTGATATTGTCAGGTAGAGTCATCCCTTCCTATATGTCAAAATTATAGATTAATAGATAGGTAGGCATGACATTTATAAAGGCTTTCTGGCAGTTTTCTCTAACCTGATGTCCTCTAGGGCAGTGTTTCTTAAAGTGTGGTCCTAGGACCATTGGGGGTCCCCCAAAACCGTCTAGGGGTCCCTGAAATCAAAATTATTTGCCAGCCTATGTTGAAAAATAATACAGTATTAAAATCCCATCAAAAAATCATGAGAAGCAGTAGCTGTAATGAATGCATCAACTTTAATTTTTAATATGGTAAATATTGATAAATATAACCCATACAAACAAAAGTTCTTTTGGAGTCCTCCATAATTTTTAAAAGTGGGAAGGGGTCCTGAGAGAAAAAAGGTTAAGCAACACTGCTCTAGGGTATTTTAATATAAGTGGTTAAAAGTTTGTGAATTCTTTAAAACTATCCGTAATCCTGCAGTACTGTGATGTACAATGTGGTGCAAACCTCAGCTGAGTTTAATAGACAAAGAGAATAGGGTTAAATGAGAAGGACACAAAGTAGTGTAACATGTGATGTATTTATTGAATATATTGAACCCACATTTACATTATTTGTTGGAAAAAGTATGTGAAATGTTAGGTTTAGTAACTGGTGTTTAGCATCAGTGACTATAACCAAATGTTTTAGGTACCTGTTGATCAGTGCTGTTCAGTGGCTTGGGGATATTTTGACCATTCTTTTTTACAGAATTTCTTCAACTCATTTATATATCTAGGCTGTCTTCTTTGAACTGCTTACATCAGCATATTTCAGTTGGATTAGATTAGGGCTTTGATTCCAAAAGTTGTAATTTCTTTTGCTTCAGTTATTCTGTTGCAGATTTACTTGCATATTTAGTATTGTGCTTTTTGACCCTCGCTCACTTAAGCTTTAGTTTACAGATATTCTGCCATTTTCTTGTATAATTTGCTATTCAATGCAGTCTAAAATCTATTCTTCCCTTAGCAATTGCAAATTGTCCACATCTTGAGGCTGCAAAATTCCATCTTAATCTCATCTGTATATAAAACATTGTTTTAATAGCCTACCGGACCATTCAGGTGGCTTCGTCTAAAGTTTGCCAGTGTGCTTTCTGGAGAGTAGTGGCTTCCTTAGTATTCTCCCATGTATACCACTTTTATTCAGTGTTTTTCTTGTGGTACACACATCAAAGTAACATTAGACAATGAAAGAGTGGCCTATAGATCCTTTGCCATTGCCATGTGGTTCTTTGCAATTTCCTAGAGTATTGCTTGTCTTGCTGTTAAGAGTGATTTTTGTTGGATTACAAAATAGAAAGAGTAAAAATGCTATTGCATTTTCTCCATTTGTACAATCTGTTTGACAGTGTAATGATGCAAACCAGAGTTTTTAGCAACAGATCTGTAGCCTTTTCTGCCTTCACAAGAGACAAAAGAGGTTTGTAGAGATCTTTTGATCAGGTATGATTCACTTCTACAAAGCTGTGCTAATGAATAGCAAATTTTGATAGTAACAACCAACAAGTTGTTTCAAACTCACATCACTGTCATCTGATAGTGGAACATCTGACTCAATTTGGGGTCAATTTCGTCTGACCTTCTAAGACAGCTGATTATTCTAGTTAATTTTTCCAACAATCACAGTGAAAATATTGGCTGAGTTTGTTCAGTGGATATGCTGCAGCATACTGTTTTGTGCTGTTTAACCAGAATCCCTTCATATTTTAATAGTTCTTAGTTGAAGCTCTGACAACACCGTAGTTCACAATATTGCAAGATTATGGACAATAAGGATTCACAAACTTTTCATCACTACTGTACCGTCCATAATACTGAGCTTGCAGAGTTTCTTTTAGGCTTTACTTTTTAGCCATGTTGCTGGGATTATGAGAACTGTAGTTCAACATATCTGTAGGGCACCAGATTGATGAGGCTGAATTATTTCTTATTTTTACTAGTAATTTTTTTTTTCCTAGCTCGGAAAAAAAAAGCTATTCTTTATAAAGGCATGAAGGTTTGTCTAGTGATAGCAATTATCCTTTGCTGTGGATGCTACATTTCAGTTCTACCTTTATGATTACAGTTTTAATATAAATGTAAGGGATGAGATCCAGGGCATTCAAGCAGACTTCTGCTCATATAAAATTTTTTACTTCTGTCTCCTTCCATGGTTCAGATTTGGAATAATTCAAACAAAATAATTTCCCTCTCTCTTACCAGCTAATAGAAATTGTTCACTATCAAGAATGCAGTCCTGATATTTTAATGGGTTTTTATCCTATTTTTACTTTTTCTGGAAAGATTTTGTCATTGTTATAACTAAGGTGTTCTGGAATGAGAAGTGTATCAAAATACTTTATACAGAATATTATGCTGCTTTGTATAAAATAAAGCATAAATATTCATTTACTTTTTGGTATATGCATAGTTTTTTAAAGCTGAAATCTTTGCTTTAGCTTTTACAATTATACCTGCATACCAACACTTTTTGTAGTGCTATATTTGGTACAGATACACAATCCACATGAACATGGAGAAGAGTCTTGTTTATCACTGCTTTAAAAGGAAAATACAGTGATTTGTCTGCCTTTCTTAGTGATCATAGACACAGTTTAGTCGCCCTTGAGTAATCTGACTTCCACTGATTAATAGGATAAGTGCACATTGTTCTGAACTCCCCCAGAGTTAATAGGACCTAGTATATAATTTCAGGTATTGTGCCGCAAATTATGCATCTGTTTAAAAATTAAAAAATGAATACAATTGTAATCTTATTAATACCATAAACCACGTAGAATCTCTGGAATGGAGCAGCACAAAAATTGTAGTAATATATAAGTTTGAGTGAACAGTCAAGTACATCATGTTGCCTGACTAATATTTTAAAATCCTTTATTAACATAGTGCAATCATACACACAACTATTCAAAAGTATGCAGAATTGGACTGGGGCTTACTTTCAGGTAATGCAGTATACTTTAGTTTTCCGTATTCCAATACATACCAGTAAATACAAGAAAAATAAAATAATTACCAACACCACTCTCCCTAAAACTATTGTTCCATAAGGCAGTTTCTGTCAAATTAGTTCTTGCATACTGGAAAATGGTTTCTAGTCTACCTAACAGATAAAATAATTTGTAACTAACCATGAATACAGTCTCCAATGTAAAATAGAAATTTTATTCAGATATCTGGATCAACTAATGTATTCTCTTGAATGTTCAGAATGTAGAAACAGGGTTCCATAAAGGCTTTGGCTGGATTGGATTTGCTACAGAAGAGGGTCGCAGTAACGCTTTGTTGAAAGATCATATTTTTGATGGAAGACAGGTAATTTCAGTTCTTTGACAATTAATTTTAAGATATATCATGTGCCTCTCTTTCAAAAAAAAGCTTCATTATTCTGTTATTTATACAACATTCAAAACCCCCCCCAGATCTACAATTAAGAAGTAACAATTAAAAGCAGGATGTGCAAAACATTTTGTGCATGGACTGTTCCAGACCAAAATCAAAATGTATGTTCTGAGATGGGAGACAGCAAGGAAAAAGAAAAGCCATCAGTGACACAAGGCAACAGCAAAGGGAAGGAAGACTGGGATAGTTGGTGTAAAGGGCTGGTGGACTGGCTGGGGGATGTTATGCTTGAATTCACATAAGGTGGTTGCAGCACCCAAAGGAGAGGAAGGTGCTGGTGTTTCAATGATCAGAGGAAGGAACGTGTAAGTGTGACAAAGGGAAAGGAGGAGCAGAGTGCAGCAGCCTTCCTCTGCTTGTCCTGCAAGACAGTCCAAAATTTGTCTTGGCTGAAACCTACAACAAAGCAGCTCCAAATATTGGGAGGATCATGACCCACCTGGGATAGGTCTTATAAACTCCAGAGCCATGGTTTCTTCTGTACCTGGGACAAGATACATTTTCCATATCATGTGCACCTCTAATTAAAAGGACTTAATACACTGCTATGTGGGTAGCTTAATTCAATGTGTATGGATGTCTGAAAGGTATACAGTTGTAATCTGCATAGATAATGCAGACTGTATTATTTAACTTGATGGAAATAGCACTAATATATAGCTCAGATATTTATTCTAGTTAAAAAAAATTGAAAATGGGTATTAAGTTCAGTTCTTTTTTGTCTTAAACCCCTCAGCTTGAAGTTAAACGTCAAGAGAAGAAAAAACAGCCAGATGAAATAGTTGCTAACACCAATTAAAAAGAAGGATACTTTATTTCATTGCTATGTAAAGAAACTAAAATAAATTTTGGTATGTATATATTCATCTTAATTAAATGTGTGCAGCTGCTTCTTTAAGGTTTAGTGGAACTATATAGTCACATCAGAGCAAATGAATTAGTACCCTTCCCTTTTTCAAGTACAATACATAGAAATAGAGAAAATTATGTACAAGAGAATATACCTAGAATAAACATTTTTAAGTAAAGAATAAATCAAGTGGCATATTTCAAATTAAGACATCCTTCTCTGTTGAAACAAAGAGGATGAACATACTTAGAAACCAAGATACAGAACCTATGTTATTCAGAGGTCTGCTTTTTCCTTCCTTCTCTATTCCATAGGGAAATGTTGCCTTTGAACACTCATGGTGCGTTATTTTCAGCACGGAGCATATAGTTAAAAGCATAAAGTACTGAATTCAGTCTCAGTGGCCAGAGAGAGATCAGTTTTTTACTCTTTCCTTCTCTTTTTGCCTTCATGATCATGTTCTTTAGGACGGTTGCTATCAGAAGGTCTTTTAGAGCCCCCATGCTGTTTTGCCTCCTCCAAGAATTTGTCTAGACCAAAAGGATCCTCCTCAAATTGAACTGGTCCTTCTCTTCCTCTTTGTCTACGATCTGAGCCAGAAAATTCCTTATCAGGAACAAACCTGTAAGAGGCAAGAAAGCAGGAAATGTAGTATATTTCTTGTAGAAGTCCACTCATTGAGGTTCACATTAATTTCCCTACCTGTTAGTAGTTTTTATTCTTGCCTCCAAATCATCACCATACATGTCCTTATCCACATTTTTACTTGGTCTGTATATATTTTGGGCCATGTCTTTGCCGCTTCTCCAGGGCTGATCATAGACGTTATAAATTTCATCTTCTCCTCCTGCAAAGCCACTGTCCATACCCTAGGAATAGTTCACATACTTAGGATAACAAGTAACAAATTCCAGAAGTTCCATCTCAAAAGCCAACATTTATATTGACCTATCGACTTGATTAAATGGATTGTTATTAAAAGTTAAAACAGTAACGTTCGCTGGGAGAACTAGAAAGTCATTAGAGCTATACATTTGACAAGCCTTCCTTTTTCACTGTTTCAATCGCTTTTGCTCTTACAGTGACTATGAAAAAAAGGCAAAACATAGGAACAGTGTAAGATGTGGGTGAGGGAGAGAAGCTTAATTTCAGCAAAGTTTTTGACAAGGTTCCACATGTTACTCTCATTGTCAACTCTTGAAGTTTGGATAGTGTACAGAAAAGGGAGTCTGCAAGTGACTGGCAAATAACACTCTGGAAATCAGCAGTAAGGACTTTACATTGTTGGACAGCAATAACCAGTGTGGTTCCACAATGTCTTGGGTCCAGTATTATTCAATATTTTTATTCATGATGGGACTAATGGGCTGCTTATCAAATGTATGGATGACACAAAATTGGAAGACCTGGCCAGTGCTCAGGGTGACAGAATGAGATTGCAGTCTAATCTCAACAAGTTGGAAGGCACCCAAGAGGAACAAAATGTTTAACATGGAGAAATGTAAGGTATTCCATTTAGGGAGAAAAAATGTAGGGTGCAGATACAAGGTGGGGAATTTATAACTTGGAAACACTACATCTGAGAAGGGCTTGGGTATAGTCACTCACAACAACTGAAGGTGAATCAACAGTGTGAGACAGTTACTAGAATGGCTAATGTGGTTCTGGGTTGCATTAGAAAAAACTTTTGTGTGAGGTCATTATTTCTTTCTATTTAGCACTGATGAGACCATTTCCCAAAGGATATGAAGACATGAGAAAAAGTTCAGAGAAGGGCAGGTAGAAGGAACTTTGGATGTCCAGTCTGAAGAAAAGAAGACTGGGTGGAGGCATAATAGCTGTGTTCAAGTATATAAATGGAAATTATGTAGAAGGCGACCAAAAGCTGCATTCCAAGGTCACAGAAACTAGGAACAGAAATCATGGATATAAGTGGCAGCTATCTAGATTTCATTAACATAAACAGGTAGTCCTCGCTTTCCAAGCCCCTCAGTGACCGTTCGAAGTTACAACAGCACTGAAAAAGAAGACTTACAATGGGTCCTCGAAGTTGCGGCTGTCATGCTGTACCCTTGGTCACATGATTGTGATTTGGGCGCTTGGCAACTGGTGCACATTTATAACAGTCACAGTGTCCCGTGATCACAAAATTGCCGTTTGTGAGCTTCACAGTCAGCTTCCAACAAGCAAAAACAACCCTTTCCTGCTGCCAGTGCAATCGCATTGCTTTTGATGTGTAGAAGAGCAAACAGGATACTCTCTTGAAATCCATCTCCAATCTCTCTGCTCTGCAGGGTGGGGGGAAGAAGGGTAAGGCAAAGGAGAGATTGCCTAAAGAAATCACTTGCTTTCTCTCCCCCCGCCCGAGTGGACAGATTGGAGACAAAGGGATTTCAAGAGAGTAGCCTGTTTGTGTAGCACGCCTGTGGCTCCCAGTCCCAGGCTGCTGTGTGATCACACTACTTTCAATGCGTACAAGACAGTAAGCATGCACTCGAGCATTCCAAGGGGTGGGGAGTGGTTAGGAAGCAAACAAAAGCTGAAGGTGTAAAACTAACTTGTCTCTTTCCAGCTGGAAAGCACAGTTGTGGTCACATGATTTCCCACTTAGCGATCACTTTGCTTAGTGGTGGAGCTGCTGGTTCCAATTAGGGTCATTAAGCAAGGACTATCTGTACTCCCTTTCAACCGTGTTCTAGAATGAGTCACTTGTATAGTGAGATGGGCAGCACATATAAATTTGAAAAATAAATAAAATCCCAAGGCATAGTGTGTGCTTTCATAGGAACCCACTGCCTGTCAGTCAATAGTATTTTCCAACAGTACATGGTGGGTGCTCCTTCACTGTAGAAACAGCATCCCGAGAACTTACTTTTTCCTATGTCTGCAGTATATTTTATAATAAAGGTATAATTCCCAACACTAGAAATGTTCATTTGTATATACACGTATTATCCAATTCTGCAAACGCTAACCAGAATTACACACAAAGGCTCAAACAGCAAATTACCTGGAGAATTAAATTTAAGGTGCTCAGTATACCAATAGATCAATTATACTTTTAAAAAATGTTTATATTCTTTATCAGATAGAGAAACTACAATTTTCTGTTCCATATACTTATGAAGTTCCTTACCTTACTTTGGTTGAAGAGTCTCTGGTCATACTGAATTTCGTTGGATGTCCGAGGGTTAGGAACACCCAATGCAATGACTTCACTAATATCTCTGTTCTCATTCCTCTGTAGTTTTGATCTGAATTTAACAGTATTATACATTTCTAGGTTACAATAATGTCAATTATTAACACTTAGCCTCACTTATCTTTATTCTGAATGGGCAAAGGGCTATATTGCAAAATGATCAGACTGGAGCTATGGGATTTCATTTTCTCTTCTCTTCAATCTTTCCAGGGCTCCAAATCTACTCTGGAGAAAAGAGTCAGGAGATACATAGGAAGAAAGAACCCATTCACCTATTCTTGCTATTCTTCCTGCAGAATGATGCTAGCTACAATCTAGAATATATTTGATCTTCTGGGGGAAATTAGCACTGACTTGTTAAAATACAAAAATTACTTTGCCCATATAATTGTCTTGTATTAAAGTGTGTCACTTGGCTTATATCTTCTACAAACGTTGGCCTGAGGTATATTACTAGAGGTTGTAGATTATGTTCCCCATAATTTTGTATTTAGATGCAAATCAGCATGTATTAATGTTTCTAATAACCAATTAAAGTGTTTATTAATCAGGAAATAGGTGAATTGCAAATAGGGAAATTATTTCAAACAAATTTGATTTTTTTCTAGCTGATCTTAAAATCAATCCTTTATAGATTAAAAAAAATAAAAATCAAGATAAGGTTGGTAAATATAAAGGGTGAAAAATGAAAATAATCAAAGGAAACATCTATAGGATGCTATTTACAGGTTTTATGTTCATAATGCACTTTAGTCCTGCTCTTTCTTTGGACAAAAGCATGAAAGGTTTTATATCAAAGTGCTAATTCCAAAATTCATTTATATCTTACAGTAGTGTGGGGGATTTATCCAATGTCCTTCCTTTGGGATATGTAATGAAGTAATAATGAAATGCTATACAGACTCTTGGTTTCTCTGTATCACTTGAAGTACAACTGGTAATATTGTCTCAACATCTGAGACAAATGTTGAGACATTTGAGGCCCTGAAGCCATGGTTTTGGCAGCGGGCCTGAAGATCCCAGGTCGATAAGGAGCCCATCAAATGGCTAGTGTAAATGTGTTATTGTTGCTGGGGGTGGGGGGTGTACTGGGCTTTGTATTTGGGATTTTTATTCTTGTAAGCTGCCCGGAGTCATTGTGAGTTGGGAGGCCATATAAATTGCTTGCATAAATAAATACATACATACATAAATTTCTGAAGAGATTACCCGCACTACATAATGGATAATTCTGGCAAAAAAGTACAATCTGACAGAATAGTTATGAGGCCGATTGTTTTAGATCTGCATGCACTACAAGTATTTTTTTTCTTGTAAAAGGAAAAGCGTCAGTTACATTATATATTAGCTGAACAATTTTACCTTTTGTCAGGGGCTGCTCTGGAAAGATTCCGGTCATGCTGCCTTTCTTTTCGCCTGTCATGTCTGATTTCATCACGCTCCCTAACTTCTCCATCCTCTACAGGTAGATTTGAGATTCAGGGTGACACAGAATTAATTGAAAAGAGGTCAAATATTTCTACCCCAATAATGTTCATTGTGACTGAAATTCATTAAAAGTTATATATGCAATAAAAATCACTGAAGGTTAAAATCTTATTTGGGATTAAACATCACTAAATTAATTGGAACTTACTTCTACTTTAGGGATGCACAACTGTTTCATTTGGGGAAACTGATATCTGCAAAGTGTGGGGGACTTGGAATTATTTTTGGAATTCAAGGATTTGCTTGCTTTTGAACTGTGATATTCCTACTTTAGGGCTTATGCTACAGTTTTCATTTATTTCCCGCTTCAAAAGGGAAGAAACTTCAGCAGTTTGGCTAGATAGACTTTATGAGGGACAAAATGAGATTCATTGGTTGCATCTGGCTCTAGGACGGCAGGTTCTCTAATTCATTTTTACCCGAACCTACATGCAATCAGGCAGCAGTTCTGTACATAAGAACCAGCATACATGAAGAGGTAGAAACTGATAGGATAAAGTAGATTCCTGCAGATTCACTGTAATCTTCCCAACAGATTAACTCTTCCAATAACTGGTTTAAAAAATCTTTGAAATATTATGAAATGGAACACTGAAAAGTGGTACCTTTCTCCATGTGAGTTTTAATTCCAGCTCTTCGTTCCCTGGCCTTCTGGGCCATTTCCCGAAGTTTCTCCTCATGTTTCTCTTTTTCCTTCTGAGCCATCTTCCGTTCTACCTGGGCTCGCATTTCTACAGCCTCACGAGCCTGCACAAAATTCAGAATTTAAGCAATTATGATAGCAACGCAAACTTACCTTTATGCTTTGAATTATAATATAAAAATACAGATACAACCCAGAATTTGGCCAGGTAGAATATTGGACAGCTACAGAAACCAGAAACTAGTATTAAGTTTGTACCATGTTATCACAAAGTTCTGTTCTCATGGTTCTAACCAAATGCTACAGTGCTGCTCAGATTCTATGGAATGAAATTACTGAAGGAAAATGTATAGTGGAGAATAAACAATGGTCTGACCTTTCTGTCAGCAATGTAAAGAGCTTCTGCCAACTTAGCAAAGTTTTCATTGATGTGTACAGTCTGCAATCCTCTGCCATCCGCAGCCAGGCGTTTGTCTAATGGAATGGTGTAACCCTGCAATGAAAATCGACAAGGCATTTAATCACCATAAAAAATAGGTGTACTACAAAAGCAGCTCCATATTTTTAATTTCAGTAGAATGCACCCGCAAAGTTACTCTACATGCAGCTTAAAAAATACTCATTTTGAATATCTATTATGGAGACATTTAAAAATACTTTTGCTATTATGATATGATGTTTTGTTACATTAAGCAAATCGCCATCTGTGGAATTAGTTATAGTGATTAACAACTGACGTTGTTGCCCTGCCCTACTTCAAGCTGTTATTCTAAGAATATTTTGAAACTAATTGGGAAAAAAAAACTTTCTAAAAGTAGCTTGTTTACTCAGTTCTAGATATTTCAAAGTAATCCAAATTACCAATTGTTCAGTGAGATTCTTAGGATGTTATTTTTTGGGTATATCATTGTGACCAATTAATTACCTTTGCATTTTTCCAGTTTGAAATGCAAGGTGGAATTTTCCATTCTTGCTGCTCCTTTACAGTCATCTACACAGAGAAGAGAGAGGTTTTTATCTTTATCAACAAAAAGGGACTTTCTCAATACTATAGCAGAATAAATAGCAAGTTTCAATAAAATATACAACAAACTGGTTTTGAAGATCTATCTTTTGGAAATTAAAAACTACAAGAACTTTTCAACAATCTGAAATACAAACGTGGAATTTTTAAAATCAATCAATCACACTCTTCCTTGGGGTACCAAGGTCTAAGGAGGAATCAGCTTAGGTCAGCTTCAAGTTGTAAAACAGAGCTTCCATGCATCCTTAAGGGAGTTTAATTCCCTTAAATCTCATTGATGATTTTAAGCTACTTCAGCAAGTATCAATGCAAAGAACATGCTGTCTTTCTGCAAGTGCTTACTGCACTGCCTGAGCAGTTGATAGGAATGAACAGTGCTAATGATGCTGAAGTATTTACAGAACTATTTACTTTTTCTGCCTACTATCCAACTCTATAGTATTCTTTTTCATATGTGGCAAGAATAATCATGCTGTCCCACCAGAGCAGACAGAGTAGGTATGCTCCAGGTCCTTTCTCTTAAACATTGCCTTCTGGTGGGTCCTCGGAAGTGTGCCTTTTCTGTTGCAGCCCTGTCCTATGGAACACCCTCCCTCTGAGATCCAACAGGACCCCACCTTTGTTGTTTTATTATTAAAACCACCCAGGTTTTATTATGTATGTATGTTGTAAGCCGCCCAGAGTTTGGTTTAAGATGGGCACTATACAATGTAATAAACAAACAAATACTACAAATTGTATAAAGTTTTTATGGTAGTCAGTTTTAGTTTTAAACCTTAATGATTTTTAGCATGCAAATTCCATGATGGTGATAATGACTGACACTATGACTACTACTGCTGCTACAGATGTTACATGTTGGATGGATGGGTTTTTTTGAGCTTGCAACACAATCCCAAATCTTTTTTCTTAGTAATAAGAAAAGCTTATTCTTAAGCTACTAATAGCTTAAATCCCATCCAAATATATATGAAACAATGTATTGTAAATAACAGCTAAGTCTAATCAAGCTCTAAGTTATTCTCAAGATAGAAGAAAACTAGCTTCTGCTTTAACACACATGCATATATCAGATTGTGTGTTTGTTTCTTTTCATTCCTGTTTTTTGTCATCTTTGCCATATTTACTCTGTCATCTATTGCTGTATTTTTTGTTTTTAATGTTTTTATTTGTAACTGTCCAGAGTTGTGGGAAATTGGGCAGCATATACATTTTAACAACACCAACAATAATATAAAAAAATGAAAACAAAGAAGAATTGGAGGAAAAAAACCAGCTGGGAACAGCATTACCTTTCTACTGGGAGAATGCATTACTGGAGCAGGTGGAGATGGTGGCCCACGAGGAATTTTCTTATTAATCCTAATATGTGAAAATCGTAGCATAATTAGGACTTACAAAAACTTCTTATGGCCTAACAATCAAATATTTCTGAAACTCACTTGAATCTTGGTGGTTCCATGGGATCCTTTTGCATCTCCACCATTCTAATAACTCTCTGCTTCGCACCAGAATTGAATGCCACTCCCTGCTGTGATGGTGTGTATCTGACAAAATGAAAAAAAGGTCTTATCAGTACAAACTTTGCCAGCATTTCAGTTTTATTCAAAGGCACAGTAATGCCAGCCACACACGTTAAAGCAATAGATGAAATCTTACTGTGCTTTAGACTGTACAGAAATATATTAGAGCTGTTTTAGAAAGAGAACAAAGCTCGATATTCCAGATTCTATCCAATTTTATTGATTGTACATAGAATATAATTTCCAGTTACAAGTCCTGTTGCTTCACAGACATCATTATGCTTATTTACCTTTTATGGACCATGAGCCTGTTATATATTTCAAAGAAAAAATCATTACCAGAAACAGGATAAGAACAACACACTTGTATAGCCAAGTACATTGTACTGTGATTTCAGGGCTATATCACAATTCATTAAACAGCAATAATTTTTTAATTCTCCTGTAACTCTTCCTGCCTTCACAGAATCATGTGAAGAAGGCATATATTATACACTATATACAAAAAGTAAACAATACAAAAAGTGTTCCATACCGAATGTACTGAGCTGGAGCTAGTTTATCAGCCGCTCGGACTGGCATTGCTGCTGCAATTTTCTGAGAGACAGACTTTTCCAGTGCAACTCGTGTCTTTTCTGTAAGCTGCAATCATATGTAACATATTAAACATCTGGACAAAATGCACATACTTCCAGCAGTTATATGCATCACTACCAGCTATACCTCTTTGACAGCTTCTTCATCTGGTCTTTGCAGCTCAGGGTCATCCACATTCATAACTTCTTTGGGAACAAGGTCTGTGTATTTGCTGTAGATGACCTGAAACATGGAAAAGAGCACTAAGGAAAAGGAACACTGTAGATTAAAAAAAGGCTCTGTGACTTTTTAGAAAACCAGACTATCTTTCCAATATCGAACAAGCTACATAATACCTAGCATAACTATTTCAGAATAAGGTTAAAAATTATCATATAATACTCCTAACTCTTAGCTTTAGGTAGGAGAAAAACACATAACACAGTCCTGGATTCTGGTTTTTTGATAATCAAAACCTAGGATTCTTTGCCATTTGGAACTACAATTATCTTGTTTACCTACAGCTAGAGATGATGATGAGTAATTTGCCTAAAGGTAAGTAATAATCCAATCTGCTTTCCAGACTTTTATGCTTGTAGTAAAATGGCATATTCTTGGATTGGAGCAGAATGTTTTGATATGGTCTAGATCAGTTCTGCACAACATATAGACTGCAGGCCACATGTGGCCTGCCAAGCAGTCTTGTGCAGCCCATTGGTGTTTTTTTGAAAAATAACCAACCCACTGCCTCTGGGAAGGAGTGCTACCACCCCATACGTTCTTGCAGCCATTTTCACTCTAAAAGACCTGATGCCTCCCAGACGCTAGCTCTACTGCTGCCACTGTGCTGCCTAACAGCTGATTGGTGCACCAGCTATTCCTTTGTGGCCCACAATTATTTTAAAGGTTTCAATCTGGCCCTTTTCCCTTTACGAATTGCTTAGGCCCAGTCTAGATTTCTTTCTTTTTAAACAAGTTTTAATCTGTTTTATCACTAATATATACTTTTTTATATCATCACGTATTGTTTTTATTTTTGCTTGTATAATATTTTTTAAAATAAAGTATGATATATTTTGCCCATGGGAAACTAAAAATGGCTTCAGGCTGTTTTATATATCACAACTTGCACTGATGATGTTACCTGTATATCACTTGCACTGATGATGTTACCTAGTTGGGTAATGAAATGCAAGCAAACAACCAAGCTCAGAGAGTGCCAAGGACTCCACAGTTCAACCCTGAACCACATATATTCTCTTCTACTGAATATATCACAACTATAATTACTTTACTTTGCTCAAATAGTAAGTATTGCTCATTAGAGATTGTTCTAAGTAGCAACTTTCCATCGTCATGACATTTGTACTGCAATAAAAGCAGACTTGTAGTCCAAATAATAATTTAGCATAGGAGACATTTACCAATTCTCATCCAAGTATTTCCAAAATTAACAGTCCCTAAAATGAGCATCAACAGAATCACATTTCACAAAGCCAAGTGAAAGACATTTGAAGAGCAATTATTTCTTCACAGTAATTGCCCATAAAACACAAGAATCTCAATGCATGAAGAACTAAACCTACTTCCAGGACCAAAAAAAAAGAAAAAAAGAAAAAGAAAAGAAAAATCCTAGGGAATAAAATGCAAAGATGTTCTTTTAGCATTAAAACAAGGAAGTTCTAAATAGAAAAAGTAACAAAAATCATCCACTCTTTATGATAATGGCAATAAATGGGCTTTAGTGTGATAAACCTTTGAGGTGAATAACCAGGTTACAATTAGCCAGCGGTCTACTTATCTGTTGCTTCACACCACCCAAACAAACCCCATCTGCTGTGACAATAAACCACAGCTTTTTCTAAAGTACAGCATAAGGCTAAATACCAATGGGGACTGTCTCTTTCTTTCAGCTTCAGAGCCCAATCTGATGCAGGAAAAGCACCACATGTTCACTATCCACATGCATGGAAGATGAGCTTGGGGTATGTTGTTGCTTTCTTAGTACTGGAAAAACAGGTTGCACCATTGATGGAAGGACAAAGAATAGCAGTATTTATATGTAGACGGTTCAAACAGAAGATTATCACACTGTACTTCTAGATAATAAAAAAATTCTATTTCACATGCCACAAATACAATTTTACACCACCATAAATAACCCTGATTCATCAAAGCTTCCCACCCTCTGTTTTACAGTGGGGCAAAAAAGTATTTAGTCAGCCACCAATTGTGCAAGTTCTCCCACCTATCATGCACATACAGTGGGGCAAAAAAGTATTTAGTCAGCCACCAATTGTGCAAGTTCTCCCACCTATCATGCACATACAGTGGGGCAAAAAAGTATTTAGTCAGCCACCAATTGTGCAAGTTCTCCCACCTATCATGCACATACAGTGGGGCAAAAAAGTATTTAGTCAGCCACCAATTGTGCAAGTTCTCCCACCTATCATGCACATACAGTGGGGCAAAAAAGTATTTAGTCAGCCACCAATTGTGCAAGTTCTCCCACCTATCATGCACATACAGTGGGGCAAAAAAGTATTTAGTCAGCCACCAATTGTGCAAGTTCTCCCACCTATCATGCACATACAGTGGGGCAAAAAAGTATTTAGTCAGCCACCAATTGTGCAAGTTCTCCCACCTATCATGCACATACAGTGGGGCAAAAAAGTATTTAGTCAGCCACCAATTGTGCAAGTTCTCCCACCTATCATGCACATACAGTGGGGCAAAAAAGTATTTAGTCAGCCACCAATTGTGCAAGTTCTCCCACCTATCATGCACATACAGTGGGGCAAAAAAGTATTTAGTCAGCCACCAATTGTGCAAGTTCTCCCACCTATCATGCACATACAGTGGGGCAAAAAAGTATTTAGTCAGCCACCAATTGTGCAAGTTCTCCCACTATTTTCCACCATGATTTGCAAATCAATTCTTTAAAAATCAGACAATGTGATTTTCTGGGGTTTTTTTCTCATTTTGTCTCTCATAGTTGAGGTATACCTATGATGAACATTACAGGCTCCTCTCATCTTTTTAAGTGGGAGAACTTGCACAATTGGTGGCTGACTAAATACTTTTTTGCCCCACTGTATGTGCATGATAGCCTAAACACTGAATGCCTTGTAATTTCCATTTACCTGAGGAGAAAGAGCAGTCATCCCAGACAACACTAAATTAACTGCAAATATGATGTAGTCTCCTAGACCCAAAAGGTATTCTCCATTTATGGAAAAAACCAATATGCAAAGTCCAAGAGATAGTGCTGGATTAGCCCCTATGATATCTGGCTACAAATCTGGCAATATTTCTTTTGCTTTAAAAACTACAGGTGAAACTTGAAAAATTAGATTATTGTGCAAATGTTCATTTATGTCAGTAAGGCAACTCACAAGGTGAAACCAATATATGAG